GAATTTAAACATGTAAAATCTACATTACTGCCAGTTATCTGTAACTTTTCATTTTCTTAGTAGAATACCACCTTTCGTGTGTTTTGATAGCTGCTTAAGAGTTTTGTATTGATTTTGTGTTTTGCTTTGAGCAATCCAAACCCATCCCTGGGGAGATGGCGAACCTGGTTATGCATTCCAGATCAGTGGCGCATCAAGGTTTGCTAGCTTAGCAAGCTTTGATTCATGGCAAAGACTTTAATCATGGCTAGCTGAAGTATCCTAGTTCACAGATAATATTAAACAGGTAGTGAGTTCATGTGTCACACCAACCTTAAAATATCAAAACCACTGTGATGGTTTTGTTGTGTTGAAAAAAAACCCCTGATGATATCTGAAGGTGGATCACATGGATCAGAATATGTACAGTGAGGGTATATAGGAGAACATGAACTGGGTAAAAAAAATGGGATGATTTATTTATAGGTGTATATACACATTTCAACTGACACTGATGGCTTTTGAGAAGGGTGTGTGTGTTCTTTCATTAGTTTCAATTATTCTGCCTGTGCAGTTATTTTGACTTGATGAAATATGTGACACTCTTTCAGTCAATCAGCAGTTTCATGAGTTATATACATATACTCTATTTCTGTAACTTTTTAATATCCAACCTGTAAAAGAAAATTACTTTGTCTACTATAAATATGAGCTGGACTACTGTGAGGTAGGGTATGTCTTAAAACAGCATTCCTTACTAGCACTGATGATGTTACCTAGTTAATGAAATGTTTGCAAGAAAACAAGCAAGCTCAGAGAGCACCAAGGAGCCCTCACAAAAATTTCACTCAGAGCCCAGTTCAGGAGTCCCAAAAGATCCATTTGACTTCAGTCAAATTCTGGTTGTTCTATATATAAATAAACCAGACAGCCCCTCGCTCAAGAAAAGTGATAGCTCCTTCCAAGCAAGTGATTAGTCAAACCCAATACTCAGCAACCCATCTCCAATATACCAAACATGTTCTCTGTCAGTTTATATTCTGGTGTTTTGCCTATCTGTGTGGTTGGGGTGGTCTTAGATATTTTTTGGTTGGGCTGTTTACAGATGGCTCTTTGATAGTTTCTTGATTGGGATATTGCTTCCTTGAATGTTAGTCTGAAGTTAACTTTGGAATTAATCTATGCTGACCTGGATGCTGATAACTGGAGGACAGGCATTGGAGTCTTTTTTTTCTCTTTTGGGCTGGTTGATTATCTCTTTTGCATATTTTATAGATCGTTAATATTTATGTGTCTATTGAGGGCTGACTTGTCAGAGTGCCAGGCTTTTAGAAATTCCCTGGCAATTTTTGCTGCTAGTCAAATGTGTGCATTGCGAGATGAATCACCTGACCTTTCATATTGTTCTTCCCTATTGCAATTACTTCCTTAATTAAATGTAGCAATAGCTGTCTTAACTTTCACTTTTTCCTCCCTGATGCTTTGATGCCATGTCACAATGAAATCTTTATCGTAACAATAATTGTCAAAAACTGGTCCAGAACATTTGAGATTTAGGAAATAATAGGCTGGAACTCTAGTTGATGGTAGCTGCTACTACCATAATTTTACTGGGCAGTTTACTTATTATCCCCTCTTAATATTTCGACAATTTATTATCTAGGATGCAAATTTCCCTTTGCTCTTTGCTGTTGTCTTTTGCCTTTGATTTAAATTCAGAGAGTATGTCAATGGGTGCAAGAATTTAGGCCCAAAATATAATAGCTGGTGATGTTGGCCTCCTTCCAAAGCTACTTGTTGCTATTATACAAAGGGAATGGCTGTATTTATGTCTTGAAAGTCTTGTTGAGAGTGATTTAAATTCATTTATTTTATCCAATTATGCAATCAAAGAGATTTTATCTACAAAGTTATGCGACCTACTCAATGTTATGAGTCCTTGAATTACAATCATATTGGAGCTTGCCATTACGATTGCAAGTCGTAATGTTTGTAAAACAGGTTGGCCCTGTGATCTATTCAATTTTACAACTGTTTTGCAGCAATTGTTAAGCAGACTCATTGTTCACTGAGGCCCAGTTTTGCCAAGAATTAGAAGTAAGTGTGCAAGTAAGATACGTAACCATGGGATGCTGCAGAAGAGTATAAATGTGGCCACATTGCTGAGTAACCCAAATATGGTCACATGACCATGGTGGTGGTGGGGGAACAATTGTTGAAACTTTGGATCTGGGTCTTCTACTTTTTCAGGTAGGTCATAATGTTGAATAGTCAGTAAGTGGACAATCGTAACCCAAAGGCTACTGTACCGCAATGGCATTTTCTTGCATTTGGAATTGTTTCTAAACTCTTCATGGGATGCATGGAGCAGGCATGTTATTGCTATTTTATTAGCACTAGGAAACCTAAGGAAGCAACTGTTACCTTGCTTTTGCCATATTGCTTGGCAGCTGTTCTTCATAGGCAGTGTTTGGCTAATGATTCAGTGAGACAATTCTATTGGAACTCTATTTAAAGGGGCAGCCGTAAATGGGATAAGAGGGGAAGACAGGTAAACCTATGAGCCATAATTGAGATAATGCTAGAGGAGAGAAATACGCTCAAATCTTAGGTGATTGTGAAGTAGACAACCGGACTGTATTTTTAAAAATATAATCACACAGGTACAGCACTTTTATGAAAAGTAGCCAATTTTATCATAGTATTGTTATGTGAGGCAGGCTAGTATATTACAGGTAGTTCTCAACTTACACCACGATTGAGCCCAAAATTTCTGTTGCTAAGCGAGACATTTGTTACGTGAGTTTTGCCCCATTTTATGAACTTTCTTGCCAGTTGTTAGTGTCAAAAGTTAGTAACAGAGTTGTTAAGTGATTCTGGCTTCCTCATTGACTTTGCTTGTCAGAAGGTTGTAAAAGGTGATTTACATGACCCTGGGACACTGCAACTGTCATCAATGTGCAACTGTGCACTGCAACTGTCATCAATTTCCAAGAGTCTGAATTTTGATCATGTGACCATGGGGATGTTGCAATAGTTATGTGTGAAAAATAGTCATAAGTCATTTTTTCCAGTCCCATTGTAACTTTGAATGATCACTAAAATTGTTGTAAGTCGAGGACTACCTATGTTTCCAATATTTTGCTCAGATTTGTAGAAGTTGAAGCCAGTCTGATGAATTGATAGGTTTGGGGAGATTTGAACAAGGGATTTGTTAATTTGTAGCTCAGACTCTGATCCTTTGCATTATAAAATGGGAACACGTCACTTCATACTAATTTATGAGATTTGCATCATCCTTTCTTCCAGAAAATAGCATTTGGATACTGACCAGACATTGGTTTTGGAATTTGGCAGTGGCTTGGTCTCCAAGCTTGTTTCAATTTAGTTTCTGAATGTTTTGTTACAAATATTTTCTATCATTGGTTTGGAATATTGGAATTGGAATATTTTGAAAAAACCTTTTTGGAGCACATGGGGTATGACTGTTATGCATCTGTGCACAACTGTTTAAAACAGCTTTGTCTTTCCCCAGGATAATGCAACTGCCTTTAGTATTACATTTATATTTTTCCTCTGGTTGGTTTGATCTCATTAGGTAAATTTTCTTAACAAGAACAATAACAACAAAAAAGGCTGATCAGCGAAAGTCCATTAAGGGTTATCAGAGATAACATATCTATTTTAAACTTGATCAAATAAACCCAACTTTATATTTATTTACTTTTAACAGTCTTGATTTTTTAATCTCTTCCAATAATCTGCTGAACGTGATTTCTTTTCATTTTTCTTTGTCCTTTCTCATAAAATTCTTCAAACATTTAGAAAGTCTCTTTTATAAATCAATATAGGAAACTTATCCAGGTCAGACTTTTGATGTGTTATTTCTTTGCCCCTTTTAACCATTAAGATATCAGTAGGTTTCATTTGTATATTCAAGGCAACATCTTTTTCCATTTCATTTTTGTAACCGGTCATGTTTAAATCCATTTTCAGATCAGTCTCAGTCTTGTCCAGTAAAAGCTGTTCCTCATCCATAACATCTTCTAAATATAATCTATAAAGCCATACATTATTGCAATTAACTTCTGTGCCCATTGTTCAACAATATCTTTCAGTACACCCAATTTTAAAATATTTTGCTCCATTCTGTATTAGTTACCTTCATCTCTTCATTAGTTACCTTCATCTCTTTCAATTGTAATCTTTAATTCTTTCTGGTTCCCTCTAGTGTCCAATATTCAAAGTTTTATCCTATCATGTTATTTAAGAGAATTCAAAACATAGCATTTCCCATGGGAAGGATTCTTCTAATTAGTGCCAAATTTAGAATCCTTCTGGAACTTCGCTGAATGATGAGGCTTTAAGGATTTGTTTATAGATAAGAGATGAGATATGGGAAGATCATTGCTGTATTTTAAGGGGAAATGATATGTTACTAAAATTGTTTATATTATAATAAAACTGGTTATTAATAAAATTACTATAAAGAAAAAGATGGCTGAAATTATTCCACTTTCCTTTTATTGAAGAGTATTTTTATTGGTTGGAAGAGTGTTTATTACCCATTTAAGTACATGAAAATGTACAGATTGGCCCTTTAGAAGCCTTATAAAATACCACAACAATGTCAAATGAAATTACTTTAGGGCACACTTTTGATTGTTGTGTTTTGGGATTTAAAATAAATACATTTTAACCGAGAAAAATATATTCCATATGGAAACCTAGAAGTATAGAGATATGATCCAGCATAGCTTACTTGCAAACAGCTGAGCTTTAGATCCCTTGTGGAGTACCTCTCTGTTCCTAATGAGTCTGACTCATTTTGTCATGCTGTGAAATGAGATAATTTCCCAGAATCACCTCTCTAAAAAGAGAATTAATTTCTTTAAATCCCAGAAAAAAAAATTATTCTGTGCCTCGGTTGCCTAGCTTCTTGCTTTCTAACGTCTTATTTCAGGAAAAGAAAACTGGCTTCTTTAATCCTGTTGACTGACTTTTCTTTGAAAAATTCACAGTTATCATGTGGGCTGCATGTTGCAACTGGTTTTGCCTGAATGGACAGCCTGAAGACATGCCACACTGCCCGCAGCCAGGAACTCGAGCATATTCCAATGCTGGCTACAGCTCCTTCCCATCTCCCACAGCTTCCGAGCAGAGTTGCAAAGCCTGCGGGGTGCATTTCAGCAGCTCCTTCCTTAAGGTGAGTGATGAGATCCTTTGGGACTAACTATTGGAAGAAGGCCACTTTTTAGCCTTATTTTAGTATACGTAGCACTCAGCACTCCTATGATTTAAACCCCTTACATCAGATAGTGGAACAGATCAAATTGCAAAGTAGAAAAGTCAGGGGCTTCCTTTTAAAGAAAACTTTGAGCTGCATCTAATAAGATTAAACCAGAGATTTAGGACTCCCAAATTGTAATCTGAGTTGGTCATGATGATTGGCACTGATGGGAATAGTTCACAGGGGTAAAGGACCCAATTCCTACTGTTGCTTTTTAATGTTGGTATGTGTAGCTTCATGGAAATTAATAGCATAAAATTCTAGAGTTGAAAAACACCGCAGAGAACATCTAGTCCAAGATCCAAACCAGGTCAAAATCTGCCAAAATACTTTGGGCAGATGCCTATCTAGCATCTGTTTGAAGGCTTCCAGGAAATTTTTCCCAATATCTAAATCTATTTCATACACTTTGCAGGGACACAATACCCTTGTCAGACCAATAGCCACGCTTAGCCACTGAATAGCATAGGCAGGCCAGAGTGAAGACTTAAATTTGACTTAATTTATATTGAATGCTAAATTAAATATTGCCAATAATTTGATTGACTGATAATGTGCCATCGTCATTTTTGACTCCTGACGACTACATAGATAGATCTTCTCCATAACCTGTTCTTTCAAGTCTCTCATTGGTGCACTCCCCATCATTTAACTGAGTCCATCCAACTTCTTGCTGCTCATCCTCTTCTCTTTCCTTCCACCTTTCATATGTTTAATAACTTCCCCTCCTGTCACAATAATAATTAAACTGGTGGCAACTTTTGAAGTGGTTTTGAGGCCTGACATGCTGGCCTAACATTAGGCTCTCCTACTCTGTTTGTATGGTATGGCAGCTCTCATAATGCCAGAAGAGAGAGCTGTGGGTTTAGAAAAAGTTCCTTAGATATACTAATTTCCTCACGTTGGAATTCTAGTCCATCTTCACAGATCCTCCTTATATCCTGCTCTAGGAGAAAATAAAACAAAAAGAGAGAGTTCTAGATATACCGCCTCAGCCATATAGAACAGGCTTCAACTCTTCTGTATGATTTCAAAATACCCCAACTAAAAAAATAGGTATACAGCTCTAAAATGGAAAAGGTTTTAGAGGGAATTACTTTAAAAACCATGCTGCCAAATGTCCAGCTACAAAACTAAAGACAAAATTAGGGAATGCAATCATACATACTGGATTCCAATTTCCAAACAATTTCCAGCATATTCAAGATGATCTTGCAGTTTTTTTTTTCTACTTGAAAACAATGCCAAATTTCAGAATATCTGCAGAATGAGGGATCCTTGGTGTTCTCTGAGCTTGGCTGTTTTCTTTTAGACATTTCATTACCTAGCACTGATGATACTTGGAGTTGCAGTCCTAATTTCTCTGAAGAGTGCAAAGTTTTGGGAAGAGGTTATGTGGAAATCTTATCCCTGTTGAAACAGTTTCTGATTCTAATTGGAACAAAAGTAAGATGTTGTATATTACTGAGTTCCCTGTGATATTGCAGGGATGGGCAGGCAGCTGCTATCCTAAAGTTTTATATTACAGCTTTCATCTTACTTTATCTCCAAGGAAACAGGCGATGTTGATAAAAGTTGAAATATACACACTTCCGGTTTGAAGGGCTTTGGCGACAGACAGAAATCCACGATCGTGCGCGGTTTCTGTCTGGGCTCACCGCTGGAGCGCCCTGAGCCGGCTAGTTTCGGGGCTAAGCCACCCCGTAGAGGTGGTGAAGAGGGGAGCCACATCTCTCCTCCTCAGCTGGCCATTACTCCCTTTCCCGAAGGCAGTTGCAGAGGTGGTCAGAAATGGCCACCACAAAGAAGAACTCGACTGGAAAAGAATGTGCAGGAGGAAGATAAGAAGTGAAAGTTTTGGCTGACCGGGTTAAATTGTAAAAGCAACAACCAAGGTACCCTGGAATTTAAACTTACAAAAAATAACATAGCTCCCAAAGAAGAGTCGGAAGCAGCGAAGGAAAGGGAAAAGGGAAAGATTTGGCTTTTTTTTTTTCCTTCTCTCTCCTTCCCTATACTGACAACTAAGAGACTTAAATAAGAAATCGGAAAAATCCGCTTTGACATGAATAGGCAATTAAGCTGAAAATAAAACAAAATGCCAAAGGGATAATAAAGATTTCTGGACATTAAAAACTTTCTCTTTCATAAGCAGGAAGGGAGAGAAAAAGAATAAGGGCAGGATCTGGAAGAGGGAGGAGACTGCCTGGAATTAAAAAGAATCTAAAGTAAAACTTCAACAAGACTTCTAAAAGATACATTTTAACTGAAACTTTGCAACTAAATAGTAACGCCAGGAAGAGAAAGTGAAAAAAAAAAGAGCAAAAAAGAAACAGCTTGCATGTATTTGGATTATTGGTGATCTTTGGATTTTTGGTTATTATATTTGAATGACTAAAATCAATCGGGTGGTTGTTTAAAAATTTATACAATGGCACCACTTCTGGATGAATTGAAAATGGAACTTTAAAAGTACAAAGAAGATGCACAAGAAGGGAAGGGTTCTTTTGGCTTTGTTTTTCAATTCTTAGAAATGGAGATTTGGAACTATGAGAAACAACAAGAAAAGACTGCAAAACAAGAAGACTGGGACAAAGAAGAAGCCATCTTTAATGAACAAGTAATTCTATGTGGGGAAGAAAAAGGAAAGGGGGGAAAGAAAATGGAGAATTTAAGACTTAAAAAAACAACCAAAGAAAAGAAAAATAATTCTAAAAATAAGTATAATACTGGAAAGCAACAGAAAAGGGGAATACAGAAGAGAGAAATAGAGGTAGAGAGACAAGGGGGTAAAAAGGGGAGAGAGAAGAAGAGAGGGAAGAAGGAAAGGAAAAGAAGTTACAAAGGACTGGAGCAAGATATAGAGAAACAGGACCTATTTAGAGATAATGGGTGAAAACTTAATGGAAAAAGGGATTCTGCAAAGATACATAAGATAGTGTGGTTATATTAGAAGCAGAAATAATTTTAGAAAATATAAAACAACGTATGATTAAAATGAGGGATAAAATAGTGTAATTTAGTGAAATGTTTGTGAATAAAATAAGTGAAATAAAATAAATGAGAAAATTGAATTAGGAAGGAATGGGAACATTTTAATTAGTTAATATTTTATAAAATATAAGTGAAGAGTGGGGGGGAATTAACTATGGAAAGCTTATAATTGTTCCCATAGAAGTATGATATTTAATTGAAAAGTAATGTTAAAGATGTTAAGACTTTAATGAATATTAATATTAATGATAGAATTGAATTGGAATGGAATGTTGTTTTAATTATATACATTTATAATTTTTTTCTTTTTTTAAGAATACAGTGTGTATTTTAAGAATGTACCAAGCAGAATCCGAATGGAAGTTATGTATTATATTGAATGTTACAACTTTAGGGAAAAGATATAAAGGCGTCATACTCTAATCAGTAACTACAGGAGAAATTTTGTTTAATGAGAAAATATAATAGATAATTGAAACAGGACAGACAAAAAATATAAATACAACAATTTGAATTGAGATGAGATAATTAAAATAAAATTGAGAAAATTAAAAGAGGGGAGAAGCTATGCAGAAAATGTAAAATAGTAATAAGATATGGAATAGAATATAAAAATGAGCATGAATCTGAATTTGTGTCTGTACGAAGAAATGTAACCCGGGATTATGCTGCTTTCAAAAAAGATGTTTTATTTGTATTTTTTGTGTGTGAAAACTCAAATAAAATTTACAAAAAAAAAAAAGTTGAAATATACACAACATAAAGAGCTCTTAGGTTGCCTACTCCCTCTTGATGGGTCATTGTTAATCTATATTACAGTAGAGGTGTATATCACAGTAAATAAGCAATTTCAAACACCCCCCCAAAATGTATTGTGATCTTTTTCCAAAGGGAACCAAACCCAGATAAATTCTTCAAACCTCTGCATTCTATCTATGTACCCTCCCTGTCCAAGCTATAATGAACATTTTGTCATACTAGCTATTAAATTTATTTGCTGCCCATATCATGAGCCGAGTCTGAGCTGAGCTACAACTGAGACAAAATAATTTTATGTCTGAGAAGACAAGCATGAGGCTCCCCTGTTGCTGTTGTGAGGGTAGGACTGTAGCAGCAATTGTTCTCAAACATTTTGCTTAGGACCCTTTTACTTTCAATTAACAAATAACTGATAACCCCAAAGAGCTTTATCAAAATCTAGTGCTTTAGAAATCAAAACTGGGAAATGTTAAAAACATTTATTTGACATCATAGACCCCTGAAAGGGTCTTGGGGTCCCCCAAATATCCCCACATTTTGAGAAGCACTGTTTTCCAGAAGTGTTTCTCAAATTTGGCAACTTTAAAATGCACAGCTGGGGAGTTCTGGGAATCGAAATCTTAAAAGTTGCTAAGATTGAAAAATATTAGTTTACAGGGTGAATTACAAGCCCAGCTGATACTTTATCCTCATTTCTGCAGGCTTTTGTAGCAAAATGTTCTCAGTGACATGCTTTGCTGAACAAATTTGTCATATTTGTGAACTTCTAGACAGATAGCCCTTTCTTTGGAAAATCAACACTAATCTAGAGTTCAAATGATGGTGGGAGATTGCTCTGAATGGGTGAAAGAGACGTAGTTCTATCTCCTTAGGTAAGAGTACTCACTTAACAAGAGTATTGTCCATAAAAAGACATCCAAAAGTTGAGTAATAGAATAACTTCAGGCACCTATGCTTCAGGCGCCCTTTTTGCCTTGCTGTCCCTAAAGGCAGAAGCAGAAACTGGATTTTCTAGCTATCCTTGACTTGTGTACTAAATTCTTATGCATCTGACCTCTCTAGAACCACCAGGGTCCTGTGGAACAAGACATAATCCACATTCTTCTCCCAAGAGTTATGTATTTCAATGAGTTTCCCCAACTGTTTTCTCCCCTTTTCTGGGAAGTGCTTCCAAGAAGTGGCAGGAATCCAAGTTTTTAGTTTCTCAGCTAAAGTTTCTGACCTGGTCCATGTTCCCAGAAAAAATGTGGTGAGCGTCTGGCCTTTTGATCTCCCCCCCCCCCCCCCCCCCCCCCCAAAAAAAAAAAAACACATACACACAAAGAATTGGGAGTGACTTCAGGAACTGACAGCATTGGCCAACTGCCAGGAGAGCCAGTCCCAGTGCCTTATTACAGCCTCTTGTTTGTTTCTTGGATTTATGGCCTGCTATTTGTTCAGGATCTCACTTTCCCCATTTTCTTCACTGCGACCCTAAGTAGATTGGTTTGAGAGAGACTGATTGCCCCATGGCTACCTAGTGAACCACTGTGTAGCTATGAACTTCTGAGCTTCCCTGATGCCAGGACAGGTAGTCCTAAAACCTATGACTACAATTGAGCTCAAGATTTATGTTGGTAAGTGAGACATTTTTTCAGTGAGTTGTACCCCATTTTACGACAGTTATTAAGTGAATCACTGCAGTTGTTGAATTAGTAACATGGTTGTTAAGTGAATCTGGTTTTTCTGTTGACTTTGCTTGTCAGAAGGTCACAAAAGGGATCACATGACCCTGGGAGGCTGCAACTGTCATAAATGTGAGTCTGTAATTCACATGGCCATGGAGATACTGCAATGGCCATAAATGTGAAAAATGTTCATAAGTCATTTTTTTCAGTGCCATTGTAACTTTGAATGGTTACTAAGTGAACTGTTGTAAGTCGAGGACTACCTGTACAATATCTTAACTACTATGCCCCATAGACTTTCTTGCCTGCTGTTCTAGGCAGCATCAGGCCAGCTAGATCTTGATGCTGCCAGCCAGATCAGAGGCTTGCCATAAATGGATTACTTGGGGTAATAGATCCTTGGTATGATCCAGCTGGGCTCCTATAGTCACTATTTATTTAAGTTTCCTGCAGCTATATGTTTACATATTATATTTGTCAATGACATTAACAATCAATTTTTTATGCATGACTCATATCCTGCAGTAGTCAGTGACTCGAAGAGTGCTATTAACTTAAATTTAGATTTGGTCTGATTTAATGAAGAAGCTTGATCCAATTGAAAAAGGATGGGGATTGGAACAACTCTGGAGGAGTTAAACTTTGCAATAAGCAAGACTGAATTACAGTATAAGTGTACTGTAGTTTGCAGCTGAGTTGCTTATTTCCTTATATTAACTGTGTAAAGCCAAGATCTGAAACGGCATCTTCCCTCTCAGCAGCTGGCTTTTCAAAATTTGCTTTAATTTGCAAAGGTTAAAAGGAAGGAGAATCTTTTTTTTTCTGAATGTGAGCTTTTCATTTTTAAAAGCTTCCTTGGGGAGAGAAGTTTTAAATAATCTCTCCATTTAATTCAGGAGCCACATGTTTACTCTAAGGAGTGACCATTCTACACTCTTTAAGTTTGAATAGGTTTAAAGTAGTTTTTTCAAACTTGGCAGCATTATATTGAAAGGGGAATTCTGGGAGATTAAGTCCAGTTCAGCCCACAAGACACTGATCTGGGGTTATTTTCTCACTGGGGGCATATAAACATTTATTATCAATAGGATACTATAGTTAAATTGGATTAATATTGCCATATATATGCATGCATATATATATGTGTGTGTGTGTGTGTGTGTGTGTATGTGATGTTTTCTTAAGTTTTCGCGGGTACTTACATGTATGGCATTCAGCTTTGTTCGGGTATTTTCCGACGTCATTGTAGTTGTGCTTTTAAAGTTGTAGCAACTGACTCACAGACGAACACTATACAGAAGCCTGAGGATGGCAGATGAGATTCTGCCGAAACGTTGCTACAACTTTAAAAGCACAACTACAACGACGTGGGAAAATACCCGAACAAAGCTGAATGCCATATATCTCTATCTCTATCTCTATCTCTATCTTGAATGGAGGAGTGGGCTTTGAAATGGCACATAGAATCGAAGTCCACACATCTTAAAGTTGCCAAGTTTGAAAAAAACTGCTTTAAAGCATTACTTTTAGCTCTAAAATATGGATCTTTTAAGTTGAGTTCAGTGTAAAAGTGTATAAGTCATGCCATTAGTCATTAGTTGTGGCATAGTTATAATTTAACATATGATGGTTAGCACGATATAAGAACAAAGCCAAAGTACTTTCTGTATCTTGGGATTTAATCTTAAATTAGAAAATCATAACAGGTTCCAGTTGATTTATTTTAATTTTGTAAAGTTTTCATGTGTGACAGAAAGCAAAAATAATGGAGAGATATAATTTCTTCCTGCTTTTAGACAACTCCGGATGTGTTGCAAACCTCTAGAGGAGGTGTTTTCCTCTATGTTTATCTGCCACTTTTGTTGAAGCATCTACATCAACAAAATCTCGAACATAATGGTTGCAGATGCCGGAAGGGAAATTATTCACTCGGATGACAGGATTTATCTTTATTTATCAGCTCTAATTTCTTCATAAGGGATGATAACAGGGATTGGTATGGCTGTGAACATAATTTAATGAGGTTAAGTTAGTTTGGACTCCTCTGGAGCAAAGATTATTCATGAGTCCTGTTTGAACTGACAAGGAACATAATTTTCTCATTTGCATAAGAGGTTCAAGCAGAAAGATTTTGCTTTGCTTGTTCTTTAGTCAAAGCAGTGAGCCCTGATGAGTTGCTCAGGGAAACTTGTGGGATAACAACACTTCCTTTGGTTAATTTCCCATGTACTTAAATTGGGAAACACTTGACCCAAAGTGACCAGAACTTTCTGAGATGGGAAAGATATAATTACCATAAGTTTTTCAGGCTTTGTTTGTTTTGGAAGGATTTTTATTATTTATTTGTTACATTTATTTACCGCCTGTCTCGCTGTGGGGCTACTCTGGGCAGCGTACAACAGTAAAAACGGAGAAATGAAAAGAAGTGTGAACACAACACTAGCAAAGCAATGAAACAATAGAATTAACAACAAAAAGAAAACAATGAGAACACAGCTAAGTGAGAAGAAAAGATGGTTGGGAGGGAAAGCTGGAAGCAAGAGGACAGTTAGGGTTTGCTATTAACCTAGTAGCCATTCCCCCATTTAGGTCCCGAGTGGGGAATTTTTTTTCATTGGGAAATGCTTTTATGGATGTAGGGAAACAACACTTTTTGATTGCTTTGTGCTCCTGATGAATCAAGTGCTTAATGCTGAGCCTCTACCAATTTTACATTTTGTTTCAGGAGGAACACATGAAGCTCTCTGGCATTGCCTTGCACTAGAACAGGGGTCTCCCAAACTTGGCAACTTTTAAGACTTACGGACTTCAACTCCCAGAGTTCTCCAGGCAGCTATGCTGGTTGGAAAATTCTGGGAGCTGAAGTCCACAAGTGTTAAAGTTGCCAAGTTTGGAGACCTTTGCACTAGAAATAAAGCCCACACATTGGCAGTTGAAAAATTCTCAAGGGTTAAAATTTGGCAAAGAATTATAGACTGCATGAGACTTTTGTTATGGCTATGATTACCCTTGAACTTGTTTATGTTAGGCTCTGAGTGGAAAGTTACAATAGGCATGTGATATTATGTGAGGTAGAGCAGGGAGTCTCCAAACTTGGCAACTTGGCTGGCTGAGGAATTCTGGGAATTGAAGTCTACAAGTTTTAATATTGCCAAATTTGGAGACCCACGAGGCAGAGGATGGGCCAATGGTAGAATACGGTAAGTGTCTAAGGAAAGAATTTGATGGAAGGCAGGCAGCAAGATATACCAGAAAGAGAAGCTGGAGAGATGCAAAATAGCAGGACTGTGCATAATAAATTTAATGAGTTATAATAATAAAATAGCATAATGCAAAAGAACGATATATAAATATATAAAAATATATAAATAAAAATAGCATAATGCAAAATAACAAAAGTAAGAGAGGATAAGTAATATTGGCAGGCTCTGAAAGAATTCTTGAGAAGACAAAGGGACATTATGGCAATAAATGTGGACACTTTTATGGACACTGCAAGTTTGTTTGCTGTTGTAAGAAAAAAAAACAGTAATGGAATCCCACGCGTTAACTGAATTCCAACCCATATATAGTGATAAATATGCCTCAGTAAATGGTAGCCTGCCAGTTAGTTTTTCCTGTGTAAGTGTTCCCTTGCTGCTTTTGCCTCAACACGGGCCATCTGTCATTATCCTGCTGACCCCTGCCTCTTCCTTTTCGTTTCTCTCTGGGTTCTCTCTCCCCATTCCTCTGCTTGCCCTTCAACCTTACAACCAAGAGAGCTTTGAGAGCTACAGTTTGGTCCACTTCTGATTTAGTTGTGCCTTTCTAACATGGTATCCGCTTCTGAGGTGCTAAATGTTTTATAAGGATGTATTTTCAGATAGCAGCAGCAACCAGCTGATGTTTACCGACTAACAGAGTAGCTAGACTGGAAAATGGAGCAGGCCTTCCCGCACCCTTCTTGCCTCACAGAAGGTGGTGCTGTGAAACTGGCTTCTTGTGACTTAAATCATGCCAAACCAGAATGTGGGAATCTGATGTTTTTTTCTTCTCTGGGGATTGATGGGAAGATGGTTAGCTTGCCTGTTTCTGATGACTCAAAGGCCACACGCTCTTGATATTCACAAGGACGATGTCACGAGAGAATGCAAAACATGTATTCTACGCCGTGGTTTCTCTGCTCAAAGGTTTCCCTCCATGATGTTCTTTCTCCTCTTCTCCCCACTCCTGAACAGCGCGTCTGCCTGGATTGCAAAAAGAGCTTCTGCCCTTCCTGTGCGCACCAGCCCGAGAGTGGTCCCTGCCTCTGCCATCTCTGTGAGCGATTCCGAGCTACAGCTTTTCAGCGGGAGGAACTCATCAAAATGAAAGTGAAGGACTTGCGAGATTATCTGGAACTCCGGGAGATCTCCACGGAGATGTGCCGTGAAAAAGATGAGCTGGTGTGCTTGATCATCAGTCAGCAGCCCTCGGATCCCCAAAGGGAGAGGGCCGCCCGGGTTCCTCACTCAGTGCCAGTTTCTGTTGCACAGGAGGAGTGTACAACGACACCAGTTTCACTGAATTATTCTCCAGAGCAAATTTCCACCAATCCTGCCTTGCAGACTGAGGAGCATTTACAGGTACGGATGCCTTTGCTACCCTGGTCCAGGCACCAGGGTACTTATTTACATGTCTCAGCTCAAGGTCCTGTTGGCTGCTGTTGTCTGATGTGATGATGTTGCTTGAATGTGGAATTTGAAAAGAAGGGCTTAAGTAATGTAGTGAGAGAGGAAAATAGATAGCAATAGCACTTAGATTGCGCTTCTCAGTTTCCTGGATATTTTGCCATGTTCAAGAACCGTGCCATGGTCTTGAAACTCTCGCAGAATGTGGAGACAGCAATAGCAATAGCACTTAACCTTATATACTGCTTCATAGTGCTTTACAGTCCTCTCTAAGTGGTTTACAGAGACAGTCTATTGCCCCCAACAACCTGGGTCTTCATTTTACCTTGGAAGGATGGAAGGCTGAGTCAACCTTGAGCCTGGTGAGATTCGACCTGCCAAATTGCAGGCAGCCAGCAGTTACCAGAAGTAGCCTGCAGTACTGCACTCTAACCACTGCGCCACTGTGGCTCAATGTAGAATGTGTACTTTGCGTGCAGAACTCCCAGGTTCAGCCTCCTGCCATCTTCAATTAAGAGAAGGGTAATTTATAAGAGGCATAAATTGTAACCCTGGAATACTTTAGACTGGCGGCTGGCAGGCCAGATGCGTCACACATAGGCCATGCCCACCCTAGCTCCTCAAAGGAGAGAAATGTCATAAAATGTCATGTGATGGCAATGTGATGCAGTGAGCTTGACATCCATGCCTTAGATTTAATTTTGAAATGCTTTTTAAAATTGGATGGGTCAGAGTTTTCAACATAGCCAAGTTTCTCTGATCCCTGTTGGATAAAACACTACCTCTCTCCTGTTCTTAGAGCCGAAAGATTGGGAAAGGCTCTGCTGTGTCTACTTTTCATTTTAAAAGAATTAGTAATGGCAGAGATATGGGGAAGTTTAGCACTTCAGTATTGGGTGGATTCTGCCTCCCCCACCCCATCCTGCTTTTAGTTATACCACCGAAAAAATGCTTTTACACGTCTAAGAGAAAATAGTGCAAAATCAACTCCCATCCTGGGAATGAGATGCGAGCAGTTTTGAGAAGTCATGAAGAAATTATGTTTCTGTCCAGTGTTTAGTCTTAACTGAGTATATATTTGTGTTTGAATCATCTGCACAAAATTGCTTCCCCCTCCATAAAATACCTGCCCAGTTTTTATGGGTTTGTTATTGTGAAGGCCCATTGCCAACTGAAGGGGAGAGGCTTGAGTTGAGCTTAGAACTTCCCTACAGAAGCCTTTTAATTTCCTTTTTACTTTTCCAGGGAGTAGATGACATAGAAGTTAATTTTCCTATGCCAAATGCAGGAAGGGAATTACAACCTTTATGATTAAAGATACCCTCCTCCATTTGCCCAGGTCATGACAAAAGTTTTTCACATTCTGCAACTCCTCCCATCCTCCCAATTTTAGTTAAAATGAGTTTCTTCTGTTCTGACCTTGTCATGGTGGGGTTTTTTTATTGTGGCTTGAGCACACACGCATGTGGCTGGATGTCTTTTAGTCGGGAATCCTAAATAGGCAGGTCTTCCTTCTTTTCAGGCTGTGGTATGGGAAATGCACGGCTGACCTTCTAGAGAGAAAGGCATGTGTGGGGCTTTGGTATTGTGTCATAAAAAATGCCTGGCATTCTCCATGATGTCATGTTGTGTCACAATGGAAGGCAGCAGAGCAGAGCCAGGCTTTCATAGCACGTCTCTTGCTAGCTCCCTACAGCTCCACCATGACTGTCCTGGCTCTGCTTCCTTGGAGATACCACCCAAAGGCTTTCCTACGTGAGCCAAGGCAGTCCTAACAGGGCTCAGCCAACAACAAGGTGAGGATCTCAAAGCAACATTCCTTGTCCGGTTTTGAAGCATTGCGGATGGTTTGGCTTCTCACTATTGCCTGCGCATTTTCTTGGTCTCTGGATGAGCCCTTGAGGGAGCCAAGTGAAGGCCAGTTGAAGGAAAGCCTCTCCCCAGCCTCCTTCCCAAAACTTCTGAACCGTTCAGTTACCCTTTTTCTTCTTAGGCAAATGGGCATGTGCTGCCGAGCCAGGACGATATGGCAGAAGTTGAGAGTGCAGTGCAAAACCTGCCTGAGGAAGAGACACAGGTAAGGGAAGGTCACGGCCTGCTTTTCAGGGAGGAGAGGTCGAAAAGGGGAAGGCTTTGCCTTGCAACGGCTGATAACAACCTGAGTCAACACACTAGTGCAGTGCTAACGGCGGTATCAGAAATGGATGAAGTCCTTTATGTGCAGAGAATGCTATGGAAATAACGACCTGCTTTGAAATGAAAAGAACTGCAATTCTCTAGGGGATTTACCGATTTTAGAGAATGGAGACTGATAATAGAGAATATCTGTAGCTCAGGGATGAACTGTGGGGTCCTTGATGCGTTATGAGCATGGTTGCTTTCTTGCAGAAGTTTCATTACCAAACTAGGTAACAACATCAGTGCCAGCATGGAGCTGGAAAAGGTAGGATCTGCTCAAGGATTCTTTTATGTGACTTAAAAAAAAAACCCCACACCCCTCATTAGCTTAATTCTAGCAGCAGGATCAGCTACGCAGCACTTAAACTGCCCTCTTCAGACATTCCAGTACTCCCCTGAATTCTTGCTCCCTATTTGCTGAACCCCCAACAATGGAGCATATTCTGTGCTGCTCTGATTTCAAAATGCCAGGTATGCCCATTTACTGACATAGACCGTTGTATAAATTGTACCTTTTTTTTTAGCCAATATTGACCCTCAAAGCAAGTCAAATTTTTACCACGTGATAGGCTAACATGGGATTTTTTGTTATTGATTTATTTATCAATTTCTAGACCACTCAGCTCCAAAATGACTTTGGAAGGGAAGGAAAACTTCACAAAATTAAAAGAAATATTACATAAAATAACACCCGTACATAAAACATTAATCATCTGTGGGAACAACAAATCATCCTGGGAAAATCCCCCTAAAAGTCTGTAAGAAAATCCTCCACCCCGTTTTCCTACCGATTACAGAATACCTCCTCCCCCTCTCCCTGAGAACTAGTGGTCCGCGGGATTTAAAATTATGAGTTTGGTGGTCCTTGGGGTCCAAAAGGTTGGCGACCTGTGTTCTAGATGATAGGAGCAGTGGCAAAAGAGTCTTTCCTTCAGAAAGGGTCCCATCAGATGATGTGGCACTATCTACAGGCAGTCCTCGATCTACGACCAAAATTGAGCCCACATTGATGTTTGAAAGTGGAATATTCATTAAGTGAGTTTTATGACCTTTCTTGCCACAGTTGTTATGTGAACCATTGTAGTTCTTAAGTTAGTTAACATGGTTGGTAAGTGAACCTGGTTTCCCCATTGACTTTGCTTGTCAGAAGTTCGCGGAAGGGGAAATCTCATGACTACGGGATACTGCAACAACTGCCAAAATCATAGGCGTTGCATGCCAAGCATCTGAATTTTGATCACGTGACCATGGGGATGCTGCAAAAAGGTCATAAGTCACTTTTTTCAGTGCATTGTAACTTGGAACAGTCACTAAATTAACTGTTGTAAGTTGAGGACTGCCTGTATGGGAGTTGATGATTTTGTTGGGGGACACAGGATGGAACATCCTTGTGGGAGATGGGCAAGTCCTTATTTGTGGGCATTGAGCACAACGAAGAGATTGTTGTTACGGCTTACTGTTGTGTTGTTGTTGTTATTTTCTGTTGTAGCTTTAATTTAAAAAAAAAAAATTCAAAAAGTTGTGTTTAACTTTGGTTGCTTGCCTTCATTCCTGTGATGAATGTTTGTTTCATTTGTTCTATTTCAGTCCACTGATTCAGAAGATAACCTAGTTACGGGACGGAGGGCATCTCTCTCTGATCTTACAAGCCTGAGAGATATTGATGCCCTCTCGGTAAGGCAGTTGAAAGAGATCCTGGCTCGCAACTTTGTTAACTACAAGGGCTGTTGTGAGAAATGGGAGCTAATGGAGAGGGTGACCCGCCTTTACAAAGAGAAGGACCTCCAGCAGCTGGGTATGACATTCCTTCCTTCATTGTTTCAATTTGCATATATTAATGACAGTTCAGTGCGATTATTTGGAGTTTAAAATTACAGGGGTCCAATGGAGGAATCAGTTCCTTGGTCGATTTGTGTTCATTGACATGGAAGAGAGCATTGGCACCAGAACAGTAGCTGTGTTTATACAACATGCTCAACCAGGTGAAACAATCTGGTGGATGCTTTTGTACGTCTGCTAGATTTAAATCCGATAAGCTTGGTTAATATTAACCTTCAATCGGTTTTCATGGTGTAAAACTTCTGCTTTTGTAATTTAACTTAATAATTTAAATATAGTGGAAAATCAGAAGAAGAAGTCATTGTTCAGGTTCAGGCTGTGGCCTGAATGCAACCAACCGGTGCTTCTTTGGGTTTTTTCAATATTTCACTCTGTTGCCTCTTGACCAAACAGAATGCCAAAGGTTTGTTTCTCCTTTGACTGACACAAATACAATAATAACCTGTGTTTTCCTTCTCCCAACTAACATTTTCCACCTTTTATCCAATCCCTTTAAAAAGTGGAAAGATTGAAAGGAGGGTGACGGTTGGGAGAGATTAATTGACAGTCCATTAATTTTTCTTGCATTTTGTAGCAAACATCTCAAGCTCATGCTTTTTCTTTTCTTTTCTCATTCAGTTTCAGATACTGATGATCAAACTGGTAAGCATGTTCTTTTTTTTTTTGTCTTCTCAACATTGTAAGCTGCAACTATTTAAATAGGAACAGTTACTGTCTTCAAGGAAAATTGGTAGTCTTAAATCAATATAATTTGGTTTCTTTATTTGAGCCAATGAATGTATGTATGCTTTAGTATTTGTGCTGGTACCCCCATCCCCCAACAGAGTCATGTGTAAATGCATTTTATGTACATTAATATTGTGTACTTTTGTATTGGGGGGATGGAAAACCCTAAAATGAAAGCTCCAGAAATTACTTTAGATGGACCACTTTTTCTCTGCCTATGGAGCAGTTCAAAATTATAGGGCAAATGCACAGGAATTAGTATGATAGCATTTTAGACATAAGAAAAAAACAAATGCTTGATGCTCCTGGCATTACTGAATTAATTCATTGTCTAAATTCACATGGTACATTGAGCCATAGATTAACAGAGATAACATAGTAAGATAACATAGTAAGTCTCAAAAAAATCAAACTGCATGAACTGTAGATCAATGAAACAGGCTGCCATAGGAAGTAATGAGTTCTCTTGTGCCAGAGGTCATCAAACCAAGGCTGAAGGATCATCTGTCTAGGATGCAGAAGGTGGATCTCATACTAGGCAGAGGATTGAATTAAACTTGCATTGTACATTATTTTATGAACTTTATCAAGATCAGCTGTAATGGAGCTTAGTATGCTGCATGAGTTCATCTTTAGTGGACATGGTTAAGCATGTCTTATATAAGCCCACATGATGCTCTGTGTCCTGGATATATGGCCATGTTCAAGAACTGTGCCGTAGCCTTGAAACTCTTGCAGAATGTGGAGATAGCAATAGCACTTAGACTTCTATACTGCTTCACAGTGCTTCACAGCTGTCTCTAAGTGGTTTACAGGATCAGCCTGTTGTCCGCAACAATCTGGGTCCTCATTTTACCCACCTCGGAAGGATGGAAAGCTGAGTCAACCTTGAGCCTGGTGAGATTCCAACTGCCAAATTGCAGGCAGCCAGAAGCCAGCAGAAGTAGCCTGAGATGGTCACAAAAGAAAAATACATGGAAAAGGAGAGGCATTTGTCATGCATATTCTTATCCACCTTTGTTCTGAAGGGGGAAAGACATGCTGAGGAGCAGGGGTGCACCTACGACAGGGGTGTCAAACTCTATTTCATTGAAGGTCGTATCAGGGTTGTGTTTGACCTGGGGGAGGTGGACGTGGCCAGGGTGGGCATGGCCTGCTTGACATCGCTCGTATTGGGGCCCCCGAGTGCTCTGCCAGCAAAAATGGAGCTCCTGAGCTCCATTTTTACTGGCAGAGGCACCATGGGCTGGTCCTTTGCTATTTCTAGGGTGACCCCATGGGCCAGATCTAAGCACCCCGCAGGTGGGTTCCAGCCCGCCAGCCTTGAGTTTGACACCCCTGACCTAGGAGAAAGATAATTGGAAAATAAAGAGAGCAGACAGAAACTTCTGACTTGGTAGCATGCAATCTTTCCTAAACCGCTAGGTAGAGACAGAGGAGTGGCATCACAAATGGGGTACACTTTATTACCTTGTTTTTGATGTTTTATGTGAATCCAGTCACTCCTTATTTCTCTTGCTTCCTGCCAGAAATTTTAGTCTCCCTCTTCTCTTCTTGTCGTTCCAGCTCCATCTGGTAATGCCACCCTCCCTGGTTCTGAAGAAAACCTCTGCAAAATCTGTATGGACTCCATCATTGATTGTGTCTTATTGGAGTGTGGCCACATGGTGACTTGCACAAAGTGTGGGAAACGTATGAATGAGTGTCCCATCTGCCGGCAATACGTGATAAGAGCTGTCCACGTTTTCAGGACTTAAGAGCACAGGAAGCAGGACTAATGTTCTTCCACTGTGACAGAGAGCACCAGTCCCAGGGCTACCCAGTCCCCATTCTTAAGAAGCCCACAGATAGGTGAGATGAAGGATGGAGGGCTGTGAAGACTTGAGCTGTGATTGGCTGCCTACCCCGACTAATACTGTGCATTATACCACAGTGCCTGGAGAGCTGGACATCCTCAGTAGATCTAGAAAGCAACATGCCTTTTCTTTCTTTGTCTGCTTTTGACAGGGCATAAAGGAACTCTTGATGTTTCCAAGACATTGAGGCTCTTCCCCTCTGGAGTAAATAAACAAGGTGATCTAAAGAGGAAGAGAGATTTGCTTCTCTCAATTCTCCTTTCCCTTTGACTAAATCCTTGAAGGGGAGAGTATATAGTCCTTTTTTTGGATATGTATTTTTTTTAAAGGAAAAAAAACTTTAGCTTATTAGCTAGCCTTGCGGGTCAGGCTGAAAGTCGTCTCTTCTACTGCCTTGGATTCTTGTACAGTCTGTGTCCTACCGCAGTGGCCATGGTGACATATCTACAGATGAAGGGGGGTTGTAGGTGAGAGGATTTATAATGATGAAGATGAAATTTTGCCAGATTGTAGCCGAATGAGTATCTCAGGGATACCTTTTATGTTTTTTGTTTGTTTATAATTTTGTCATGATCAAAATGCGGTGGCCTTTAAGAAAATTAAGTTGCATTTTAAGTGATTTATTTTGTATTATCATTGGGGGAAACTCTTAACATTTGTTCTGGATTTTGCTTATGGAATTAGCATTTGGGATAATAAGGAGGAACCAGTTGTGTTTTTAAAGGCCATTGTCAGATCATAAACTACGTTAGGGCCTATCTTTGACAAAGGATCCTCTTCATTTCACTCTTTTGTTAGCATTTGTTGCCTTTCTGCTATAGTATTTCATACTGAGATGAACAGATGTCCAGATTGCTTTTTGTAGAAGTTCAACTACTTGATTTTTTTTGAAGTACCTATTTTGCCTTTAAATGCCAAGTGTTGGCATTTCATTTGCTTCTATTGTAAAAAAAAAATCACCTGCTCTTTAATCACTCTTCAGTGAAGCGCTGAAGTGAAGAAATTGAATACATGGGGTCAGAATGGGTCTTTTCATTAGTAAAAGGAGGCTGCTGAAGATGGAGGGTCTTTTGCCATGTTCTTCTGAAACTATTTTTTGGGTGACTATGCAAATGGGTTTAGCTATCAGACTGCAGTTCATGAATTCCCATGAATCTTGGACTGAATCCTCCTTTTACAACTGACAGAGAGGACTGTTTTAAGAACCATGGAAAAAAGGTAATCAGTAATTCTAAAAAAAATGGTTTGGAAGAAATCCAGGAGAACCGTTTAGTTGTTTACATACTATCTTCTTCCAAGGGCATTTCAGAAAGACAGTTTTTCTCTCCATGTTGTATAAAAGCCTTAAGAAACGTGACACTTTCATATCAGCTGCTTCCTTCACTATTGTGTTTTAATTCCCAGTCAGTCCAAGTGCTTTCTTAAATTTTGGCTGTTTCTCAAATTGTTAAATGCCTTGCAAGTTGAAGATGCCTTAGTTTGCCTTAAGCCAACAGTACATAGTCTGTACCTTCCAGATGTTTTGTACTGCAGTTCTTTTTAGCCTTAGCAGCAAGGGAATTGCATTTCAGAACATAAGCACACTATCTCTGCCTTAAGTTCTGAGGTGTGCGTAAACTAAGAGTAACAGGCAATTTTTCTTATAGGTTGCATCAACGGGTAGATTAAGTTTTATTGTGGAAAGGTTGCATCACAAATCTTTCCTCCCCTTCTGTGGAATTTCACAGGCGTTCAAAAGGGTGGGTGTTTTTTTAGAAATCAGTTTGCACATGCAGCATCTATTACCTTCTCCTTTGTTAGTTTCCAAAGATTTAGTCTCAAAATTGCACTATTGGGAATGGCAATATCCCAAATGCCTGGCACATTAACCCTGGTCCTTGTTAACCTTTGTTCCACCTGCTTTTTTGTAAATGCTTTTGATAACAGTTTGCGAGATATAATCCCTACATGTATATCTGTAACCTCTGCAACCAATACATAGTTTGTGAATAGTAAAAAAAGTTTTTTGGGGGTGTGTGCTTCAGTGCATTTCTAAACAACACAGATTGGCTGTGTATAAAGCCAATGTGGGAAACAATTTGCAACCCATTTGGGATGGTGGGTGATGGGATTTTTTTTTTTAAATGTAGGAATCTTAAAACTTCAGTTAATGTTAGAAATGTTATTTGAGTCACTGCTGTTTGGCTCTTAAATTTCTTTTCCCCCTTTTAGGAAGGACTTTTTAAACTTTACATTCCAATAGGGAGCATGTTATTAATGAATAAAGGGAACATTGTGAACATTAGATGTTGATCATGCCTAAAAGAAAATTGCTGGTACGGGTAATAGTGGGAAAAGAGGTAGGAACCTGAAGAAAGGAAATACCCAAGTCTATCTGTTGTAAAATTCAATGTGAACAGGGGTGGTGACTTAACAAGTTAGACATGGCTGCTCTTCCCAAAGGGTTGGGCCATTCTGATCTCCCCCACCAATGAGAAAAAAAGTTGGGACAGCAATAATGTTCCAATAATGGGTAAAACAAGGAGCTTCTTTCTTTCTTTCTTGGTATCACCTGTGTAATGAAATTCCCACTGCCACCCTATTTTGATTTAAAGTTTGGTATTTTCCATGACTGTGATTTGAATTTTGGTGAAGCGAAACCTTCTCCACAGTGATGCTGCTTTGTGACTTAAGACTGCTGCTGCTGCACTAAACTATGGAGGATTTCTGTTGTTCTGCCAGAAAAATTAATATAGCAATGTATGCTTATCTGAACAGTGGGAAAGTTAATTTTGACTGTGAGAAGCTGTGTTTCAACAGGTCTCACTAGCACAGAGTTCTGCTTTATAATTTTATAATAAAATGGAAATGTGTTATTAAATTCTCTTTTCTTTTTAAACAAAGAGTATGTTTCAAGTTTAATGTGTGTTACTTGGCAAAATATTGTTTAGACTAAATAATGAAAACTATCCTTTTGTTTGATCATGTCTTGATGGCATAAGTTTGAACCAGAGTCTGTTGTGTCTGACATGTAAATGAAACTCCCAAGAGGTATTCAACTATCCACCTATCTGTTCTTTTCATTATTTGTAAGGAGCAGTTTAAAATTCCCTTTGGCCATTTTCCTGCAGGTCGCAGGTGGGTTATTGTACCAACTTACTCTTGCAGCCCTCAGTTGAAAAACTAAACCCTGTTTTGAGTTCCATTATCTCTGACAGAATGCTCAAAACAGTATGGAATGAAGTGCTCCATTTTGTCCTAAATTTGGGGGGAAATTTGGTTTTCAGTTCAGAAGATTTCACAACTCCTGCAAAACATTTCAGTTTTAACTACCAGTAGGACTGCTCAATGTGAACTTCCATGAAAAATCAGCTGTTAAGGTAATCTGTTCCACTGCTTAAGGGGTCTCAGGTCAGGAAATTCTTCCTTATTTTGAGTTTGGATATTCCTCTGAAATCTTCCATTCATTGATTTTTGTGCTACCTCTGGGAGCTCCAGAGAATAAACCCGCCGTCTTCACTGAGACAGCACTGGAAGATTGGTATCATGTTTTCCTTTAGTCTTCGCCCCTTTAGGTTGAACATGCCCAGTTCTTGTAAACATTCATGGGATTTAGCCTCCAAGACCATTTTCTCAGTTGCTTTTCTCTGCACCATTTCAGTTTCTTTTGTGTCCTTCTTGGATCATGACAGTGCAGCATTTCACGTGTGGTCTCACCAAATGCAGCGTCAAGTAGAGCTTATGTCCAGTGATCATGACATGGTACCTCTGAGGATACAGCCCAAGTTTGTATTAGCGCTTTCAGCAGCTAAACACACATTGCTCTTGGCTCATGTTAACCTGTTGTCTACCAAAGGGGTCTCCAACCTTGGCAACTTTAAGACTTTAAGCTTTGCTGGCTGAGGAATTCTGCGAATTGAAGTCCATAAGTCTTAAAGTTGCCAAGGTTGGAGACCCCGGTCTACTAGGATTCTGGGATTCTTCTCACAGGTACTACTGCTGAACCAGGTACCAGCTATTTTGTACCTAAGCATATGCTTTTCCTGAGTCTAGAACCCTACACAGATAGCCCTCACTTAAACATTCATTCAGTGATCATTTGAAGTTATGATTGTGCCAAACAAATTACCAAACCAACTAGTCCATCAAATTACAAGTGCCTTGGGAATTACACGACCAAAATTCAGCCTCTTGGCAGCCCAGCTGCACTTACGATTGCAACGTATGTTTAACTCCTTCCACCCACTTCCTCATCTCTGCCCTTTTGGGCACCTTACAGTCTGCTGCCCACACAAGGTGTCACAAAAGGACCAGCAGCTATCTTTGCCAAGCCTGCCACATTAGCAGAGGGAGGAGGAGGAAGAAGACAGTGAAGGTCAGCTGGGGATGGTGAGGATGGATGGCAGCAGAGCAGGATGGTCAAAAGCAGAGACAGGAGAGAGAGGTGGGGGAATTGAAGGGGAGGTGAGCGTGATAGGGCAGCAAAGACTCGTCTGCAGAACAGAGCTCACTGAACCCAGCTGGGGAAGCAGCAGCAGGATGGAGCCTGCGGTTCTCACATGGCAAGAGAAGCATGAGGTCCTTGCCCAACGAAGACAGCTGGGACTGCCAGAACTACCATTCGGTAAGTAGTATAGTCACATGCTATTTCACCTAACAACAGCTTTGCTGAGTGATGGAAATTCTGATTAGGTTCATTAACCAGGGTCTATCACAGGGGTGTCAAACTTGCGATGAAACCTCAAGTGTCGAATCAACTTTTTTCCTTCACTAAACCGGGGGTGGGATGGGGTGGGTGTGGTCAGCAAATGATGCATCTGGCCTGTGACTGACACCCCTGGTCGGTTTATATATCTTGGCACTGAACTGCAATTCGTAGGAATGTTCAAGTCTATCACTATCCTTGAACCTGTCTTTTGAGGGTTAGGGATTTCCAGCTTTGGGTCAATTTGATAAGCATCCCTTCTGTGATTTTATCGAAGTCATGGAAATACTGAGCATTAGACCCAGGAAAGAACCCTCAGGAACCCCTAATTCCAGATTGACATCGTACTGTTAAAAGATTATGTGGCAGGCAGATATGGTCGTCCAACCCTGCAAATCTGTCTGGTAATGAGACCATCCATCCATTAAACATTCTATCAAAAATAAGCAGTTTTTCACTTCAAACAAAATATAACATAAAAATGCATGCTAGTAACTTCTCTAAAAACTTCCAGATGCAAAGAAGGCTAAAATAAACCGTCACGTAGTGAAGGGCTGAGAAATAGAAACAAAATAGAAACACATGGTTATGTAGTGCCAAACTGATCTTTAAAAAATTATATACAAAATTTTTGCACAACATTATGTTACGGAGAACCGATTTATGGCACATGAGATGTGGAGTCCTTGGTGTTCTCTAAGCTTGATAGTTTTCTTGCAGACGTTTCATTACCCAGCTAGATAACAGTGCTATCACTGAGTGAAAATTAGGAAAGGGAGCTTCCAGATAAGATTTTATTCTTATTTTTCATTAAAAAAAAAACCCTACACATTAAAAACAAGTGGAAATATTTTAAATTGATTGCTATTCAGTCATTTTTTTTTTCATTAGGTGCTTGATTCATTCCAGACGGATGGATGCAGTTAAGGAGTCTCTAATTTTAATCATTTCCCCTCCACTGGAGCTATTTTCTTACAGCAGGTAATCTAGCATGGAGTCACCAGTCTTCTCTTTCGGATGCATTCCCAAATCCACTCGGGGGACACATGCTTAGCAGCTGGGTTGTCTTCCATCCTCTCCATCACATGTGTTGCTGAAGTGGCCTCATATTCTTGAACCAGGTCTCCATCATAGGCTATGAAATAACGCTTGAGTTTCCTGAAACCCTCCACGGAAGGGGGAAGATAAAGTTTAACCCCAGTGAAGACGTCCAGTAGCACCTGCTGTTTCGAGGTAGGAAACACGAGAGGAGGATGAATAGTCAATGAGAATTATGTTCTTAAAAAAGTTCTAATTCAGAAGAAACCAGGGCTGTGGCAATCTATGGTAGCAGCCTTCATTAAGAGAAATGTACCTCAGCATTTAGGGGCTGTGTGTACACAAGATCAGGTCTGTGGAAGATTCTGGAACAACTACCTTTCTGTGAAAATGCTAAGCTTGGTTAGAATTATCCTAGGGCTTTATTCTTGCTTTGCATGCTATGGAAACACAGACTATAAGGTAGTCCTTGACTTATGACCAAAACTGAGGCCAAAATTTCGGCAGCTAAGCAAGACAGTTAATAGCAATAGCACTTGGACTTATATACCGCTTTACAACCCTCTCTAGGCAGTTTACAGAATCAGCATATTGCCCCCACCAATTCGGGTCCTCATTTTACCCATCTCGGAAGTGAGGTTTGTCCCATTTTATGACCTTACTTCCCACAGTTGTTAAGCAAATCACTGCAGTTTTTAATACCATAGTTAAAATGACTCTTGACTTTGCTTGTCAGAAGGTCACAAAAAGTGGCCACATGACTGCAGGGCATTGCAACCGTCACAAATAAATGCCAGTAGCCAAGTGACTGAATTTTGATCACATGGCCTTGGGAATGCTGCAATGGTCCTGTGAAAAACGGTTATAATTTACTTTTTTTTCCCAATGCCATTGTAACTTCCAGCAGTCATTAAACGAATGCTTGTAAATTGAGGATTACCTATATTGCTGCCTGAGCCCAGATTATTTTAGTGAAGCGATGAAGTTTGTGTGTGAATGCAGTTAGTGACAAAATGTAGTCCTGTAGTGACTTAGGAAACAATTTTAAAAAGCAGGGGAATAATTCAAGAACCTTGCTTTACTTCAAGAAAAGGAAACGGTAAATGAGAACCCAATTTGTAATGCATTAAGTGTTCTGTGATAGCCACTAGGGAAAAAATAAGCAGCCTCCCACCCTACCCCAAAATAAGATGGAGAACCATCCTTCTGGCAATAGCACTCAAGGATGCAATGTGTTAATGGGATGCCTGTTAAAATGTGAAATGGTTGCATCCAGTGTCTTTTCTCCCTCTCTTCCCACAATCCCAAAGAATTTTTCCACAGAAAGGGGTGAGGGGATGCACTCATATAGGAGTGCAAAGCTTACCTAAATTCAAATTAATCGACCAATTGGATTTTTTGTGCTTTTTTTCTTCTTCATTTAAGTGAAAAGGTTTAAAAATATGTGACAAGTAGTAAGAAGTAGTCTGGTTTACTGCAGTCATTTAATGGCTAAATCTGAGACGGTGTTTTGAGAGTGTGTAACTAGGTCTCAGATAGGGCCTGGTGTCCTCACTACTTTCCACTGCACGAGAGAGAACTGCTCTGCTAGCTCTCCAATTCAGCTTCTCTGTAAGGAAAACAATAGTTGTGCTGAAGAACTCATAGTTTTGTGATGGGCTTGAAAAAGCCAACCATCTCCTTGCCAAGGGTAGGTAGTTCAATATT